CCCTGTTCACTTCTCCAAAATTGGATCGCCTCCAAAGACGAGTCATTTTTTCGAGATGGAATTCGAAAATTGCCTGAGAGATGGAAAAAAGTAGCAGCCAGCGATGGACAATACCTTAATTAATCTGTTCATTCATTTTGTTTTGAACTTGTGTGAATTTATATACTACGTATGCAGTCTCCAGAAATGCATCGAAATGATTTTTCGATCTTGAAACGCTAACTCTCTACTAAACTATCGCAATAATATCACGAGTTAAATTGAGTAGCAATTTAACAAATTTTTGATGCTTATTCGCATTTTCGAAACAATCTTAATAATGTTGAATGACATATTAAAATTTATAAATAATTAATTCTTAAAATAAATAAATAAATAAAATAAAATAGATAAAATAAAAAGAATAATTAAATAAAATAAAAAAATAAAATAAATAAAATTAGAAAAATTTTAAAAATTAAATAATATTAATACACAAAAGGTAGTATAAAAGAAGGGCAAAAAGCCAATGACGTATATAAAAAAGTATAATTCAGATAAGAAAACTCAATACAAAAACAATAAAAATACAATAAAATAAAACAAACGTTTCAACTCCAATTGAGTCATTTTCAATGCCATCATACAATAATATAAATGTCGTTCTAAATTAAAAATTAATACATAATCTTACAATATTCTTAAAATTCCTTAACAAAAAATTCTTTCCTCTTTCTGTGTAATACGCTGTGAGTCATTTTTATCAAGAATTAACAAAGTCATAAGAAAGTTCTGGAAAAGTAACCGTAAACAAAAAGAATCAATATTAATCACATAAAAATTAAAAATATGATGATATACCTTAATAAATCTGTTAAAAGTCCCATAATACACAACGAGAAAAAAATGTAAAATGTAGTCCATTTTGTGGTACAGTAAAAAAGTTTGGAAAAGAAAGGATTAATATGGACTTTATAGAAATAGGGAATTGTTGCGTTTATGAGACAAATGTACTATCTGTGAAATATCTCCTCTGTTCGGGACGTTGCTAATTATATGGCCGCTTTGTGGAGGCGAATTCTTTATTGCTTTGCAACGAATGAATTATGCGTATAATCGTGCGTGTGGTCGTTTTACTATATTCCCGCACGAATAAATAACCCTATATATACGCACATGAAAATGCTCGACATATGCATGAAAAGCTGGCAATTTTCCAAACTCCAATTTAAATAGGATCCAACTGTGAACCGGTAATAAGCAAAATTTAGTTCATACCAGATCAATAAACTTTTTTTTCCGCATATTGAAATATATGTACATGTACATATATATGTATTTTTTTTTATTCTGTACTAGTTTTTTCTCTTACAATTCTGCCTTTGTTTGTTAAAATCGATAGACGAATGTATAAAATATATACAGATCATCGATCAAGATTAGTTAAGAGTAAATTATTTTTAACACAAACTATAGAAATCAAAGCTTTAAACGGTCTAGCTGGATTTTAATGCTTGTATGATTCTTGTGTGAATTTATGCATTACATATGTAGTTCCGAGAGAAATGCGCCAAAATGATTTTTCGGTCTTAAAACTCTAATTTTATTAAACTACCACAGTAATATCACGAATTAAATTTTTGATACTTATTCGCATCTTCGAAACGATCTTAATAATGACATATTAAAATCTGTAAATAATTAATTCTTCAAATAAATACATAATTAAAATAAAATAAATAAAATAAAAAGAATAATTAAATAAAATAAATAAATAAAATAAAAATTTTAAAAATTAAGTAAAATAATATTAATACAATAAAATAAAATATAATACAATATAAAAATGTAATATAACTTTTATATTTATTAAAAACGCTTTTATTTTGTATGAAAACGCTTTTCAAATAATCGAAATGCGTTTTGTATAAAAACGCTTTTCAAATAATCGAAGTAATACAAAATACCCGAAACGAAACAAGACATATGTCCGATCCGTTCAAGTAGTTTCACGGATTAGGTTAGGTGACAGACTCACTTGTCCTAAATCCGTGTCACTGAGGCTAATTCTACAACGTGTTCTTTCCTATTTTTTGCTGTTTGTCTCTGTTTGTCTCTTGCCTTTTTGATCAATAAAACAAGAAACAAACAGCAAGAAACAGAAAACAAAAAGCACATTGTAGAATTAGCCTGAACATTGGAGCACATGAATGCAATTACTCTAACCGCCACCTTACCTGTGATCCAAGTGCTCTCTGGGTTAATTTGGAGTATGCGACGCAAACAAACCTTATGTCTCGCGTTTTACAGTTGACAGCCTTATACTTATTAATATTCATAGGGTATCGATTCTCTAACTTTTATCATGGTGAAAATGTGAGCTATCTCATATCGCGCGATTCTATAACTTTCATCATGATGAAAAGGTGAGCCATCTCATGGGAATTCGTTCGGCGAGAACCATATGCCCATATTCATAGCCAGATCTCCTTAAATTTATCTTTAGATGCTCAGCAGTCAATGAAATAATAATAGAGTATCTAAAGATAAATTTAAGGAAGCCTTAAATATAAGACCTGACTATGAATAATACGAGTAATAGACATCCAACAGTATGTTGATATGATAATAATTTTATGTTTGTATGTTTTTAGTTTATATGATAACAAAGATTAAATCCGTTAAATATTGTTTTGCACAAATACTTAAAAGAAAAAACCTGTAAAATGACAATGTATGTGGCTGTTTTATTACTTAATAATAAGAAAGATGAAGAGGTTTTTGAACTACACAATGAAATGAGAATTACTCGGAGAATTACTCAAAGATGTATTAAATCTTTTTTCGGTTTCTGATAATGAATTTCGTAGGTTGTACAGATAATTTTTATTAAAGTTTTTAGTAATGGCAAAAGTTTTTTATAATAAAATTAATAAAACAATATAATATTCTATAAACAATATAATAAACACAATAATATAATAAACACAACAATATTACAATACTCTAAATAAATACAATATTATAATACTCTATAATTAAAACAATATTTATTCTATAATAAAACAATATTACTTCAACATTGATCTGTAAGAACGAAGCCATATCCTGCAATCTGTGGGAGGACGAATTCTTCTTCTGGATTAAGAACTCCTTGGTGATGTGCCTGAAGGAAGGCTCTTACAATTTCAAAGTTTATTTTAGCCTGATGAATTAAGAGCTATCGTTATTTCTTCCCATAATTCATCCTTTACAAAAAGTGTACATATTTATTCGTAATTTTTATTTGCAGTTTATTATTTTTATTATTTAGCATTTGTAAAAATAAAAGTTTATTTAATAATGAAATAACCTCTACAATTATTAGGTCATCTAAAAAGTATCCGCGGTTTTTTGTCACTAGATGTGTGTTGATGGTCATATATCTAGTGACAAAGTACCGTGGATACTTTTTAGATGACCCAATATTTATCATCTTTCTTTTATTCTTGCGGTTATATCTCAATCTGCCTTGTTCAAAATCGGGATGGGACTTCATAAAATTTATGAGAATTTGTTTTTGTTTTTCTGTCACGTTCATTTTCAGATTAATCTGCATAAATTCACTTTTATACTTTCAAATCGACTCAGCAGAAATCGCTTAATCATTTCACATTTTCACGTTTTCCCCACATGGCAAATCTATTATAGTATAAATCTAATAATTTCATATTTTCACTTCGTCGTTACAGAATCGCGCGAACAAACTCATGTGAGATGAAAGTGCGAAAAGTGAGTAATCTCACTCGAATTACAGAATCAACCTCTAGGCCTTATATTTAAGGCTTCTTTAAATTTATCTTTAGATACTTTACGAATTATTTCATTGGCTGCTGAGCATCTAGATAAAGATAAATTTAAGGTCTTAAGTACAAAGTCTGATTATGAATATGGGCATTAATCTCTTATCGACCTAATTTCCACCGAGGATTTAAACCGGATCAGAATGTAAGAACTAACTACAGTCGAACATTCCCCTGGCATTTGACTGTAACTAGAACACTAGAAACATAGGTATTCCACCATTTTTATTCCTTTTCCCTCCTTGCTCTGACTCCATTTCATCACTGAACTGTGACGGATTATGATCATTACAGGTTATGATTTGTATTTGCTGCTTGAAATTTTGTAGCGCCTTTTATTCCATTTTTGCTCTCAAAATCAGTTGAATATCTATCGTAATATTAGTGCAGGACCTAAAGAATGTTTGGGCGTTCAGGTTATTTCTAGATAAGGTGCCAAATATGTATGTTAATTTGAAGAAAAGGATTGAAATTTTTCATCTAGGATGAAGTGATGTTTATTCACAAGTCATGTATTTATTTTACAGTAATACTGCAAGTTGCAAAATGATGGATATGTGAATATTCGCGTTTATAGTGCCTTACTGTAACAGGGGAATACTGTAGTTGGTTGGTTCTTATATTCTGATCCGGTTTAAACTTTTAGTGAAAACTAGGTCATCGACATTCATAGAGGTATTGATATTTCGTAATGTCTTAACGCAGGCATAACTAAATAAGATCAGCCTAGAGCGATAATTTTTATTATATATCATATGTTAGTTCGTTGACATTGGATGGGATTACATAAATACGTTTTCTTTATTATCACTGATGAAAATATTGTAAATCGAAATTTATAGCGTTATACGAATGTAAATAATAAAAGACGAATTTTATTATAATAGATAACTATATTTGTTCGTTTTTAAAAAAGTTTTGACATTTTAATTTATAACTTTTATATTTATTAAAAACGCATTTATTTTGTATAAAAACGCTTTTCAAATAATCGAGACAGCACAAAATATCCGAAACAAAACTAGGCATATGTCCGACCCGTTCGAGTGATCTCACGGATTAGGTTAAGTGACATGCTCACTTGTCCTAAATCCGTTCGTGTCATTGAACATTGGAGCACCTGAATGCAACTGCTCCAACTGCTATTATTACCTGTAATTTAAGTGCTATCTGGATTAATTTGGAGCATGCGACGCGAACAAAAGGCCATTCTACATTGGTCGTATCGTAGCGTCGGAAGCGTTGTAAGCATGTGACTTTAAAATTGAAGCATCGAATTGGCTGAAGCAACAAGCTTGCGGCATCTACGATACAACTAATGTAGAATGGTCTTTAGGATTCACACTACGTACGACATCCGTCATACAATATCTGTATGTACAATATTTATCATTACGATGAATGTCGAACGTCGTGTGACGGATGTCGTACATAGTGTGAACCCTACATTTCAAGTACACTGGATTCATTTGGAGCGACCCCGAGCAACTCCTGAGAGACAAAACGAACAATACTATCGTAAGGTTAGTAGGTCCAATATGGCCGACAATATGCGCTTTAGTAATATAGAGCTTATTGACTCGGAGTCAAGTCGAGTCCATAGACATACCCGTATTAGTCCTTCTTTATTTTAAGGATGGAGGAAACCTCCACGAAGGATTTCTCGATTCTCCAAGGCCTCCTTGTTTCATAAACAGATTTCAAGTTTCCCTTCCCGAAGGAAAGAATATTTTAAGGATTTTAATAACCTACTGAAGACAGTGTAAGAAATTCACTAGATACCCACACACAACAGAGATACCAACAGCATCAGGGCTGCATGGCTCAGTGGCAGAACGAAAGTCTACTAACTCGGAGGAGAGAACAGGCCTCAACAGGCCTGGGATCGAGACGAGGAGAGTTCTGATATTTTTCTTTGTTGTTGTCAATTGTTTATAGTAGCATGTCATAATACATAGTATATGCAAACCTAATATCGTGAATTACGAATAAAGGTTATAAAGGCATTGTTAAATAAAGTCGTGATTAAGCATTTTGCAACAATAATGGAAAAAATAAAACTAATAGCGAATTCGATTGGACGCACTCAGTGCGCACTGATGCACATCAAAATCATCGTACATATACGAAATAACGAATTATAAATATATGTTTATAAATAAACACAAAAATCGATTAAATCGTGAAATACTCAATACATTTTATTGCACTATTAGGTAAAATATATATTTCATAATTCGAAATATTTATTTTTATACTAAAATTAAATCAGTGTACAGCCGATCACAGAAAGGTTGCAACACTTTTTTTTTCGATGGGTTTCGAAATGCAGCCTATTTATTTAGCAGTTGGTTCTTATTTGTGGATTCATGAATAAGAATCAATCTCTCGGTGAGCAAGCTGCATTCCGAAATCTATCGAAAAAAAGTGTTGCAATCTTTCTGTGACTTGCTGTACAATTTTAATATGCATCAGTGCTTCTAATCAAATTCGCCATAATGCTTATTATATGAAGGAGAAAATGCTTTTGGCATAGTTAATTTCTGAAAAAAAAGCTATCAAAAATAATTATCGATGCGATAGATCTAAATTAAAAGTTATCAAAAATAAAAAGACCGGTATGACGAAATAAATTTGAAAGTTGCTTGGTTGTGAAAACTGCATCTCCTCCTCAAGGAAACTCGTAACTTCCCTTGAGAAAAGGAAGCTAATAAGGCTTTTTGTTTGGTCAAAGAAAGTTTATGAAACGTAAAATGAAGAACAAGGAATTCTCATTCCTCAAGGAAAACTTATGAATACAAATATATATTACTAAAGTAGCGCATTTCTTTTATCTTGTCGACAGACTTTCTATTGGCTATTTCACCGCCATCTTGAATCTAGTTGTCTGTAATCCAATAAGCACTTAGTATTATTAATACATAATTATTCCTATGTCTATAATATTGGTACATGGTAAGATTAGTAGATCCAATATAGCGCACTACGCTACTTTAGTAATGTAGAGCTTAAAACGGGGAGCACAGACTCTTACATAAGAATAACACATAAGACATAAGAAATTCGATCAATCAAAGTTCTTTATTTCATGGAAAGGAAGGAAACGAAAGGCTTTGGTACATTTTCTTATGCACTATGTGTTATGCATTATAGCTGTGGTCAAAGTTTCGCTACAAATGCTTTGAAGCGTTTGATGAATTAATTAGAAGAAAGAATTTTACAAATTGATCAATTAAAAAACGCTTCAAAGCGTTTGCAATCTCGTTGACTATACTTTATGCTGGGGTATACTTATGCCCAGGTGCGTTCTCTCTCGTTTCGCCTCTTTTCGCGCATGCATGAGAGAGAACGCACCTGAGCCGACCATGAATGCGTCCTTTTCTAAATAAGGGCTATCCTCAACTCTTCAAATTTCTGACAACGCTCGGTCTAGAGATACTATCTCTATGGTCGAGTCAATAAATTGAATATGCTATAAAGATGCCTTTTCATGTTGACACTTAAAATTATTATTATTGCTCTTGTCAATAATTTCTTTTAAGAAGATCGCAAGTGGATAAAAGGCGCTATTGATGCAACTAACAATTAATCTCAGTGGATGATCTTCTTTATGAATTTTTAGCAGCCCGTAAGATCTCAGAAGTTCGCAATCAGAAACATATAATTTTTTGTATGTAAGTCACGTGATAGAAATTGACGAATATCAAGCGTCAATTTTGATCACGTGATTTATTTTGACACTGAAAATGAGCGTCGAGCGTCAGCATGAAAAGATACCTTAAAGCTGACTTTTCATATGCAGCTGCGGCAGCAATTCGTAACTATTAAAAATAAACCGTAGCGATTAAAAATTTTATATGACATGACGCACATCCGACACAAAATATTTTGCCTCTCACTGAAGTTCAACCGAACGAACAATGAATAACAAAGAATTTGAAGCTGAGAAAGTCTACAATATTTGCAAAAAATGTGAAAATTGAGTACATTTATAATGAGTATATTTTTATTAATGAGTACATTTTTAAAATGATGAGAATATTCTAAATTTTAAATAATTCAGCGCCTTTTATCCACTGGCGACCTTCTTAAAAGAAATTATCGATAATAGTAATAATTTTAGTTTTTTACTTGGAATGTCAACCTCACTCAGATTGATGAGCCATTTCTCGTTGGTATTTGAGATATCAAATTTTGTATTAAAGCTACCAGGATCGATCTTGATATTGTAAACCGAATCTGTTTTATTTGATATCCTTTTATCAAAAACATTTTTTATAATCAAGGGTGCATTAGAGGCACAACTCATCCCATAATCCGATCGTTGTAATATTATAATTAACATTCTTAATGTTAGTTAATTCTCTGGAAATCTATTTATTACGCAGGTTAATTATTTTCCTATTGATTGTATTGTATTCTTGCCGCCTCTCCTCTATCGCCTATACTAGCGAATAGTCTTACAAGACTTAGAACAAGAAATTTTCACTACTAATAATATCGTCTCTCCGTTTTATTTGCGTTATGTCGATGACATTGTATTAGCTGTACATGAAGAAAAGATTGAAGAGGTTCTAGATTATTTAATTATTTAATATCACGATTTATTTAATTCATACCACGATAGACTTAGATTCACGGTTAATTTTGGCGATAAAAACGGTATTAATTTTTTGGACGTTAAATTAATGATTCAAGAAGGAAGCATCATCTTTGATATGTATAAAAAACCTACTAATTCGGGGAGATATTTAAATTATTTTTCGAATCATCCATTAGCACAAAAAAAAAGGAGTAATCATTGGGCAGCTTGATAAAATTTTATTGTTGTCCCATCCCAAATTTCATGAAAAGAACATTTCGGAATTAATTCACACTCTTCTCAATAATGGCTATCCTCTCAAATTCGTATTTTCGACGATTAACAATAGAATAAACACTTTGGAAAATAAAATTAATCCAGATAAAAATCGCGAAGTAAATAATAATGAATATGATTCTAACAAGAAAAAATTTTTCGCGATACCATACTTAAGCAAGGTTTCTGAAAACTTGCATATACACATGGTTTTAATATTGCATATAAACCGATGAATAAGTTAAATACAATTATAAAAACAGGAAAGGATCCCTTGCTTAAGGATGACCATTGTGGGGTAGTTTATAAAATTAATTGTTTGAATTGCAAATCGTCGTATGTTGCCCAAACTAAGAGAAAATTAAAAACTCGTATTAAAGCACACAAGACTGATATTAAGAAATCTACTTCTGAGATGTCAGTTGTGTCACGTCACTGTGTGAATGAATTGCATGAGTTTGATTGGGATAACATTAAGATTTTAGATACAGAACAATCATTGATGAAACGAAGAATTTCAGAAATGATACATATTAAAAACCAAATAAGTGGGATCAATAAACAAAGCGATACTGAAGGTTTGCCTGATGTTTATCTTCCTCTTCTAAAGAAAAATCTCTCTCGCACTTAATAAATAATTCTGGAACTTTCTAAACTATTTGATAGATATAAATAGCGGAAAAATATGTGATACGATCAATAACAATACATAATGTCACGACAAGTTTCTATCTGTGCAATGATTACACTGGAAATTCATCGATTTATTTTGCGGTAAAACAAGTACTGTTTCTTTTGTTTTATACTCCGTTTTGAAAGATATTAATAATAAAATAAATTATTGTAAATTAGAATCTGGAAATTCTCGTTCTACACTTTTTACTATATGACTTCTGACTAACATTATCATACGAAGCAGCGTCGCATTGATGCAAACACGATTTTTACAATTATAACACACGACGGTTGAATTTTATTCCAATTTGATGTAACTCTGCGTCTTAAGAATATTATTAATTTTACTGAAGATGGCCAGATTGTGGCCGAAATGTTTAATAATTTTATTGTAATTCGTAATGCAAGAATAATTAAATATCACTAACTACATCTTGTGCTGTAGTTCTTTATGCTCTTTCTTTTCATAATTTTGTAATTATAACCACAATCGTTTTTTACATATTTTAAATAATTACCTGAAATGATAGTTGTCTAAATTGTAACTGCACAATTGTTATATAATCACAAGTTTTTTAGTTTTTTAAGTTTTAGCTTTTTAAGTTTTTCATATTAATTTTCGAGCTGAGCAAATAAAAGACACATATTTGAGATTACTTTAATACATATTGTTATTTCTTTTCATGCGCAGCAAATGCAGAGGAAGCAATTATGAAAAATTGGCATCACGTGACATTTTTGCTGCCGCAGCATGCTGCATATGAAAAGGCACCTTAAATCTATGGTTAGCAGTCAGATCAAAGGTATTGACACAGGCCTAGTTTCCATCGAAGGTTCAATCCGAATCAGAATATAAGAACCAACCAATTACAGTCGAGTATTCTTCTATTACAGTGACAGGGGGATGTTCGACTGTAATTGATTGGTTCTTGCATTCTGACCGGATTCGAACCTTCGGTGGAAATTAAGTTACAGAGTGAATCTACTGTTTCTATACTGTGCTGTTACGTTAATAATTACATATTGTTAATTAAAAGGATTTACGGTAATTATTCAGTTTAACTATCAAAAATCAATAAAATTAAGTTTATTCGATGCGTTTTTGCATGAAACGAAAGAATCTGGCAAGAAAAAACGTCGCTCTACCTTGTGAGCATTGAAGTTGATTAAAGTGTTACTATGTAACACGATCTTAATTAATCACGTTTTTGTCACGTAGACAGTAGAATGTATAGACTAAAGCCGGTATTCATAGTCGAGTCTTATTTCAAGATCGTCTTAAGTAATGTCTTAAGATGCTAATGCAGCTCTCCTTCATGACTCCTTAAGACCATACTTAAGACGGTCTTGAATATAAGATCTATGAATATCGGCCTAGTACTTATTGGTTCGGGGCAGCTACACCGGCCCGAATAAAAATAAGATAACATATTTTACCCGCTTGGGGTCTAACCGCCTAGAAGTTGCAGCCTAGACAGTATTCGCTTGGAATATTTTTAAGCCATGAAGGCAGTAGAGTGTGAGAACAGTCTTTTTAGAACGGTCTTTTTACTGTCTAGACTTCTAAGCGGTTAGGCCCCAAGCGGGTAGAATATGTTATCTTATTTTTGTTCGGGCCGATGTAACCGGTCCAAACCAATAAGCATTAGTCTATATATCTCACTGTCTACATGACAGATTTTCTAACCTCAACAACAACAGTACAATTATAGAATGATGCGCCCCTTTGCAGGAGGGTGAGAGTCGCTTCAAGTGGAAAGTCGAAACCAGTGCAGCTAATCCTGTTGTTTTAGCGGTAGATTTACTATTTTGGCTCACAAACCTATTGCCTATTGTTTCAGCTAGGTTATCTATTGTCCTTTTTTACTTTATTTTGTTTGTATATGATATCCTATGTTATTGCTCATTTTACTCAAAGATTAGTATCTCTTATCCGCTATGTTTGAGCATCCTTCTGATTGAACATTAGTATCGCTACTCATGTGTCATTGGTCTAGCGTCCAATAGGCCTATTCTGTAATCTGTAACTTTTTAACAATAATTTTACTTGCTAGGGATGTCGTTGCGCAGGTATTTTATATGGCGAAGATTAAAGAAAAACAAAATAATAGTAACACATAACATTATAATTTTCCACTCAATAATGTTAGGGGCTCCGCACAATAAAAGGAACAGAACAGAGAATAAGAATTTTAACCTATCAGAAATCATTGTGGAATACACAGTTTCTGATAGATTGAAATTCTTATTCTCTATTCTCTGTTTCCTGTTCCTTTCATTGTGCGGAGCCCCTTACTATTATGCATAAGACATATTACATTGCAGTTACATTATTGAATGAAAAATTGTAACACTAATGTTATGTTATTTTTGTTGTGTTTCCTGGAAAACAAAAAAATATATTTTCACTATAAATATAAATTATAATTTCTGTCTTCCTACTATTGAGATTGTATTGTTCCTACTTATTGATGTTGTATTATTTTTATAATAAGTATTTGAATTATTTATTTTATACAGATTAGAGTATTTTTTTCTGTTATTTTTTATAAATTTTGTAATACTCATTTTTAATGAGACTAAATAAAGATTAAAGAAAAAAGTATGAGTACATTCTTTTTATTATAATTTCTACTTTATTTGCTACTGAGTTGTTTTCGGTATGTATTACAATTACACTATTTTTTTCTATTTTATTCAATTTTACAAAATTTCTTGAAAAAAAACTACCGCTTTGAGTTTCAAATCTACTGCTTTTTTGACATACCATCTATCGTAAAATTTTTCAAACATCTGGCAGCACTAGTCGAAACCCATGGAACAGTACAATTATAGACCTCATTTTGTCTCTGTGACAGATTTCCTAATGTTAATAGTTATCAAGTTTAACGTTTAATATCTCGGCTCACTGAGAAGAGCGAAGGTTTTTTTTACTAGATTCTTTCGTTTCATACAAAAACGCATCGAATAAACGCGTCTAATTATATTGATTTTTGAAGGGATAACTAAACTGAATAATTATCGGATTTTCACATAATTTGATATAGTCTGTTTAAGGACTAATCGCGATGGCATCGAGCAGAAGTACAAGAGAAGTTCTATTATCGCTGGTGGATGATATCGAATTAATAGCAAAGTAAGTTGCGTCTACTACTAGTAATAAATGTTTTATATTAATTTTCCTAAGTACTTCTAATAATATTTTTCGGTAATTCTTTAAAATAGCCTCACTTCTGATTTCGATGAAATTAGAATCATTCGACGCGTTTGTGCGTAAAGTGAAAGAATCCGGTAGAAAAAAGGGACTGCCCTACAAAGCGAGATATTGAGTGTTAAAGTTGACAACTATTGAGGTTAAGTCAGCTCCGATTTTGATGAAATTAGGTTCATTCGCGTTCTTGTGTAAAATAAAAGAATCTGGCAGAAAAAAGTCCGGGACTGCTCTGCGAAGCGAGATATCAAGTGTTAAAGTCGACTAGTGTTACTATGTATATAACGATGTATATACTATGTATATACGATCATTAATCTATCATGTAGTAGGATGTATAGACTAGTGCTTATTATAAAAAAAATAACATCCTACCCGCTTGGGACCTAATCGCTTAGAAATTGCAGCCTAGACAGTGCCTGCTTGGAATATTTTTAAGTCATGAAGTCATGATGACAGTGGAGTATGAGACAATAATCTTTTTAAAACAGTCTTTTTACTGTCTAGGCTGCAACTTCTAGGCAGTTAGGTCTCAAGCGGGTAGGATGTTTTTTTTTTGTTCGGGCGTAGCTGCCCCAAACTAATAAGCACTACTGTCTATACACTTCACATGACAGATTTTCTAGCCTCAGTAATTGTCAACTTTAACGTTCAATATCTTGCTTTGTAGGGTAATCCCGGACTTTTTCTATCAGATTCTTTTATTTTACGCAAAAACGCATCGAATGAGTTTAATTTTGAAATCGGAAGTAGCTATTCTAAAGAATTATCCTTTAAAAACAAATTTACTATTTTCAAAACACAAAAATAATATAAGAAAATAATGTGTTTTTAAAGTAGTAAATTTGTCTTCTTAAAGCAATGAATTTGTTTATAAAGTAATGAATTTAAAGTAATAAATTTGTATGTAAAGCAGAGGATTTGTTTTAAAATCACGAATTTATGTTTTAGAGCAGAGAACTTGTTTTAAAGTAGCGAATTTGAGACCAGACGCAGCGCATACATCACAGTATTTCATGGTTGACAGATTTCCTAATCTCAAATTCCTAATCGTCAACTTTAACGCTTAATGTATCGTTTGTGGGGCAAAGCACTTTTTTCTTGTAGAATCTTTATTTTTACGCGAAAACGCATCGATTGAGCCTATTTTTATCAAAATTTGAGATGACCGGGATATATGAATCTTTACAAAGTATTTTATATAATTGGAGTAAAAATAAAATATTTAGAGAATTTTAAAAGGGATTTATAATTAATTGATTAATCTAGGTTTTTACTTTATATATATTTTATTTTTTTTGTAATTTAAAATATTTATTTTCAGGGAGATGATAGAAAACACAATCGCTCAGAAGCCTTCAAAGCTTTCTAGCACAGAGCACGCTCAGTTAACTGAATTATTAGTTGCCAAGGATAATGAATTAAAGGCGACGCTGAAACGGGCCGCTGAACAGGCTAAAATTAACTTGAAGATGGAGGCATTGAAAGCCGAGGTAGAGAGGCAAGACCAGGATATCCAGCAGCTGCAACGACAGTTGAAAGAAGCAGAACAAATTTTGGCTACTGCGATTTATCAAGCAAAACAGAAATTACAATCTATCGCACGTGCTAATAAGAGACCAGTTCCTTCAGAAGAGCTTATTAAATATGCACATAGAATAAGCGCAACCAATGCCATTTGTGCACCTTTAACATGGCAACAGGGAGATCCCAGAAGACCATATCCCACAGATCTCGAAATGAGAGTAGGATTCCTAGGACGGTTGAGCGACCCAAGCAATCTACCTTTAAATGGACAGTTACTTGGGTCTCATCTAGGAGTACCAACAGATTTACATAGGGCAGGACATCCTGCTGGAGGTAAAAGTTTTTATGTGTGTATGTGTGTATCACATTTGAATTGATATAAGAATGAACAGGTTTTGAAGAGATTTTAGTAATTATTTAGAATAGATTTTTGTTGTTTCAGAACCACCTGTTTCGCAATCAAACCAATTTGCCTGGCATCCATCGGGAGAGATTCACATGTCGGTTGGTGGACAGGGCAGTGTAGCGGTGAATACACATAAACAAGAAACAGAAGACGTCGAAGTTATGTCTACAGACTCTTCGAGTAGCTCTTCTAGTGATTCTCAATAGATATTATTTATACCGTATCAAGCTGGAAACACAAATAGGAACAGGGGACAGGGAATAACGAATCATCCAATTAGAGCTCTGAGGTATAATATCAAACTTATTCCGTTTCTTGTTCCTATTGCCTGTCTATTATGTTTCCAGCTTTAGAGAAAAATAAAATATTTTTCTCAATAAAACTTAAACTATCTGTATAAAATTTACTTATATATATATATATGTATGTGTATATATATATATATATATATATATATATATGTATGTATGTACGCACGCACACACGCGCACACACACACGCGCGCACACACACACACACACACACACACACACACACACACACACACATACAAGGAGCCCTACAATTTTTTGCTAAGCACTTTTATGTAATAGAGCAGACTAAACTGAATCAAAAAGTTTATGTACTATTTTGCAATTTTCGTAATAGTTAACAAGATATTAATTACGAAAAATCGCTGAATATTGGTTTTCAATAATTTTTTACTCAAATCTATCAAACTATCAATTTTACAGAAAAACAACAAAACACAAAAATGCTTATTTTCTTCTCACAAAGTTCTGAGATTTTTTTCAGAATTTTTTAATACTGATTTTCTCATGTTAGTAAAATAATTGGTAATAATACAGGATCTCCCACCGTTTAATGTCCTACCCCAAATAACTTTTATTTTTGATCTTAGAAAAAAATGTTTCAGACAAAACTTGTATGGCTTTGAGGAGGACATAAGATGATGTCATTAATTTGACTTTGAATAATTGCTGAAGATCATGTGAAAGTTACCTTTAATTTCTTAGATGGAATCTCCTACTTTTTATTGCATATCTAGTAGATCATCTCGAGAGCTTTCCAAAACACTATAAATGAAATAACCTTTACGTGTTCAAGCAACTATTCAAACTAACACCATCTTATATCTTCATCAAAGCCATATAATTTTTATCTGAAATATTTTTTTCTAAGACCAAAAATAAAAAAGATTTGAGAAAATAAAGAAGATATTTGAGATGGGACATTAAAATGTGGCACCCTGTATATATAAAAAAATCCAATACGAAAAAGTTGATAAAAAATTCTGAAAAAATTCTTAAAGCTCTATGAAAAGAAAATAAAAAATTTTCATCTCTTGCTGTTTTTCTGTGAAGTTGATAATATTTGAGTAAAAAGATTAATATTCGGCAATTTTTAGTAATTAATATCTCGTTAATCATTGCGAAAATTACAAAACGGTAGAGGACTTTTCAATTAACAATCAGTTTAGTCTGCTCTATCTATACAAAAGAGCTTGGCAAAAAATGCAGGACATCCTGTATATGTATATATGTATACTGTATACACGCACGCACGCGCGCGCGCGCATAACTTACGTTAATTGTAATGTCTTTTTTTGATCATCTGTCATAAGGGTCATGAAACTTGACTGTGGAAATGAGATTCGAATATTCCTAGTTAATCTTCCTAGAAACTATTTGCACAGTTATGTCATAAATTATTCTTTTTTTCGTATATGAACGTATTCAGCATACCAACAACTTGTATATTGAAAATGTCTCACACAGTCGATGGAAAGTAATGTTAAGAGGAAATCATCAGGAAGAAACAAGAGTATGCAAGTTGTATCGATTCTTCTGCTTTTGTTTGCATTTGGCTTAAATAGATTCTGTTATCTCATTAATTATCTATAATATCAAATACAATTATAATATCTGTAATACTTATTAATTATTAATTAATACAAAATTATTTATGTACTAAAATCATCTGCCATAGCTACATGTATAAAACAAAATGTGTTTCTTTCATATATAATTATTTAAACTAATTAAGAGAAATAAACCTATTTTCGATTAAAACGAATTTTAGGCCCAATAGCACTAACATTACTTTAATTTTAAGCTAGGATTAAAATTCTGTCGGCTTTAAAAAGAATTTTAAACTTACTTAAAATTAAAGTAATTTCGGGCCTTAGTATTTAAATATCTCGGAGTAAATTTATACACATTTGTGTAGTATACAATTTTGGAAACCGCGCACCGAAATCTTTTTATCTTAAAATTAATTCTCATAAACAGAACTAAAATAGTAATATCATATATTAAATTGTTTAGTAATTTAATAATTTTTGACGCTAATAAACATTTTAGAAGGATAATAATTTGAAAATAGATTTAGTTCTGTTAATTGATTTATTTTCGTTGATCTAATACAAATTGTAACGAATTGTGATATGAATTGTGGATATACGTTTACTTAAAAAACGTTTCTTTCATTAATCACTGGTTATTGCGACAAATATTGTCGAAGCCTCAATGGTGAGATTGCTCACATGGAATGTGGGAGATTCGGATATTCTGACTGAAGTACTATTATTCGCAATAAATTAAATTATTTACAGTTCTTATGCTCAGATTAACATTAAATTATTAATTAGATTAATATTATATTATTAATATCTTTCTAAGATGCTTATTAGCATCAAAAATTGCTTGTCAATGTGATATTTCTATTCTAGTTCTGTTCAAGAACTGATTGTGTTTCAAGAACTGGAAAAGATTTCTGCATGCAGAATTGGAAATGTGTGTATAAATTCACTTTGAAATAAGTATTTAAGCACCAAGATCTGTTTTGATTGAAAATAAGTTTATTTCTTTTAATTTATTCTCGTCAGTCTAATGTGAATTGTAATTGTTATAATTACAAATAAATAAATTTGTGATCAAAATATTACAATTTAAAGAAAAGTGTTGGTACACATCTAAATATATAATATTTGATATCTTTAAAGTTTAAATTTCATTAGTTTGGATTCAATAAATCCGTAATTGTATATAGAAAACATTTTATATAAATATTAATTCAACATTCATCGTTAGAGGTACCTTCCAAAAGAATTTTTGGCATGAATTTATGTAACGTGGTGGAAGTGTAATACATTTCAGGATTGGCCTACAACATAAAAAGTAAAAAACATTCGAAAATAAAAGTATTTGTCTTTTAGTATACAATAATTAACATCTGAATTTTTCACTAACCAGTAAGATTTGTTCGTTAAACTGTGACTTTTTAAATAAAATATTATCATTGGTAAATGTCAAACCAAATAAATTGCAATCAGCCTGGATTTTACTTATATCTTTATAAAATAAAAGTTCTTGCAATTTTAATCCTGGGAACATCAATATTCTGCTATTGTAGCCAGAACTCATGATTTGCAGAACATTTCTGCAAATATACATTTGTTATTTAAATAATTATTCAGCTTTTTATAATTATTGAATATTTTTTTACATGCATAATAACAAAAATAAGTGAATACCTTCTGAAGCTTTGCAAATTACAAAAGAATGCACAAGCTAATATCGGGGGTAATTGTTTAACCAAATGATGAACGTAAACATAGTTTCTTAAATACCAAGCAAGTGATATCTTTGTGGCTAACTGAATTGCAGGCGACTTTCTGTATATACAACATAAGAAATGAATATGTAAAAAAAGTTAATGTTAAATATTTTTAATGCTTGCACGCACGCACGCACGCACGCGCGCGCGCATAGGATGTCCCATTTTAACATTTACATCAAAATATCTTATAAAGTATAAAAGATACTGGAAAATGTTCAGATAAAAGTTGTACGACTTTGATTAAACATAAGACGGTATCATTGGTTTCATCTTGACCATCTCGTCATAGTCAGGACAAGGTCACTTTGAATTTTTGAAATAGAATCCCTTATTTTTCATTACAGATTTTCATAATTTACTTCAAGAGCTTTTCAAAATGCTATTATATAGTATTTTTTTATTAAATACTTTTCGAGTTAGAAAGCTTGAAAGTTACAGTAAAGTTACGCCTAAATTAATAGTACCCAAGGTGTTCGATCAATGGCTAAAATCTCTTGAATGTTGTAATCGGTTAAACCTCTTGTATCATAATCTGGATAATATTTGTCAAGCTCAAGGTCACTGGAGATTGTATTTATTTTAATTTTTACGTAAAAATGAAAATAACAGGAACAACCTCTAATGACCTTGATCTTAATAAATGTTATCCAGGTCATAATCCTTAATAACATTCAAGCACTTCATTCGTCAGTCCGACACTTTGAGTAATGCTAATGCTGGTGGTACTGTAACTTTCAAGTTTTATTACTCGAAAGTACTTAATGAAAAAATACTTTATAATAGTGTTTTGCAAAAGCTGTTGAGATAAGCTACAAGAATGTGTAATTAAAAATAGGGGATTTTATTTCAAAATGACCTTGCCCTGATCTTGATAATGCTACCCAAAGTCAAATCAATGATACCATCTTATGTTCCCCTCGAAGTACAACTTTTGTTTGAAACATTTTCCCATATCTTTTATACTTTACGAGATATTGTTATTCAAAAGTTAAAATGGGACACTGTACATATACAAGATGTTTTGACAAAGTTTTGACAAAGCGCTCCTATAGATAGAACAGATTAAACTGAGTCGAAAAGTTTTATACCGTTTTGCAATTTTTGCAATAGTTAACAAGATATTAATTACTAAAAATCGCTGAATAATTTTTAATAATTGTTTACTCAAATACTATCAACTTTACAGAAAAGCAGCGAGAAACAAAAATTGTTTATTTTCTTCTCATAAAGTTTTCCAGATTTTTTCAGAATTTTTTAACATCGTATTTTCTTCGTTGGTAAAAATAGTTGCCTATATATATATATATATATATATATACACAGGGCATTTTAATAGTCTCAGGCGAATATTTCAGAAACTAAGAGAGATACAAGAAAAAGTTTTATATGAAAGTTGTAAGTTTTCTTGGGAGAAAGAAGGTGGAAATAACGGATTTTGGATAGGAAGCATTACCAAAGTCAGATCAAGGTCAACACGAATTTTTTAAATGGAACCTCCCCTCTCCGCATTTTTTATTGCATATTCTTGCACACCTCGAGAACTCTCCAAAACACTATAATAAAATATTTTTTCATGAAGTACTTTTCGAGTTATAAGGCTTGAAAGTTACAATACCGCATTAGTTAGCATTACGCAAGGTATCGGACCGACGGCTAAAACCTCTTGAATATTGATCAGGATCATGTCCTAGATAACATTTGTTAAGATTTCTTGGGAGAAAGAAGGTGGAAATAACGGATTTTGGATAGGAAGCATTACCAAAGTCAGATCAAGGTCAACACGAATTTTTTAAATGGAACCTCCCCTCTCCGCATTTTTTATTGCATATTCTTGCACACCTCGAGAACTCTCCAAAACACTATAATAAAATATTTTTTCATGAAGTACTTTTCGAGTTATAAGGCTTGAAAGTTACAATACCGCATTAGTTAGCATTACGCAAGGTATCGGACCGACGGCTAAAACCTCTTGAATATTGATCAGGATCATGTCCTAGATAACATTTGTTAAGATTAAGATCATTGAAGATTGTTTCTCTTATTTTCATTTTTGCACTGAAAATTCATTTTTATGTAAAAATGAAAATAAGAGAAACTGTAACTTTCAAGCCTTATAACTCGAAAAGTACTTCATGAAAAAATATTTTATTATAGTGTTTTGGAAAGCTCTCGAGATGTTTTACAATATGCAATAAAAAAAATAGGGGGTTCCATTTAAAAAATTCATATTTACCTTGACCTAACTTTGATAATACCCGCTATCCAAAATCCGTTATTTTCACTTTCTTTCCCCCAAGAAAACCTACAACTTTTATATAAAACTTTGTTTCGTATCCCTCTTAGTTTCTGAAATATTCACCTGGGGCGATTAAAATGTCCCACCCTGTATATAAGAAAATATAGTACTAAAAAGTTGATAAAATTTTTGAAAAAATTCTTAGAGAGTTCTATGAGAAGAAAATAAATAACTTTTGCCTTTTACAGTTTTTCTGTAAAGTTGATAATATTTGAGAAAAAAATTATTGAAGACCAATTATTCGGCAATTTTTAGTAATTGATACCTTGTTAACTATTGCAAAAATTGTAAAATGTAGAAGACTTTTCAGACTCAGTTTAGTCTGCTCTATCTACACACAAGCGCTTTGTCAAAACTTAGCGAACACCCTGTATATATGTATATACATAATTTGCATAATATTAAGCTCTAATTTTATCACAATAATGAGAACTTACTTTAAATCAGATGAAAGCGAAAAAGCTCTTGTTAAAGCCTCGCAATCTCCGATATGGAGAAGAATATATATAGCTTCCATCTCTGATCGATTATTACTTAATGCTAATTTTTCGAAATCTTTATGTACTGCTATATTATCTGTTACATTTTCATTTTGTTGATCATATAATACAAGTAACTGCTTGATACATTCAAATAGATGTTTATTATTAATTTTTGCATTGAATTCCGTAATGTCTCTTTCACACAGCCTAAAAAAAGAATCTATTTCTGAGTAACTTTTCAACTTTTTAAAGACCATTTGATTAACTTGTACCTTTGTGCGGCATATATGTGAAATCGGATAATTGGTTCAAGAAGGAAAATACTTGAAACAATATCTACTCTTTGTATTACAGCATCTTGTCGTACTGATCTTAACCTATCAAATACAAAGTCATATATCAATACCCAATTTAAATCCGTTCGTGTAATTATCCTGAAATGATATATATTTTAAATATTATGCATATAAATCTTACAATAAATTATAAACAATGTTTTATTAAATAGATATATTCTGGTAGCAGTAATACTTAACAGTAACAATTTATACATTCTTGAATCATATTTAAACAGATAGACAAAATTACTTGGTGAATAAGTATCGGACAGTGGATAATAATACATGCGGAGGACGCAACAAATTCGGATCCGTCATAATTTGTCCAGCAGCAGAGCGACTGAAGCATTTTACAATTTTCATTGGATCAGACTTGGGTCTCTTCATGTATTTCGTTCTCTCATCAATTTCATATTTGTGCAACAAACCTTCCCGTTCTCTCCTGAAGTAAATAAGATTTGAAAAGTCATATATTAAATTCTTATTTGCGTGTTACATATAAAATTATGAGACATACAACAATCTTTTTTTAGTAAAATATATATCCTGTTTTTAAATGTAAAAATAGTGGAAAAATAAATTAATGTTTATGTTGACATTCGTGAGAAATTCGAAGCAAGATTTATGTACGTACATGTTCAAAGTTTCGATTTACAAACTTTCTACATTGCGAAAAAAACTTACATAAGCCGTTCTTTTTCCGGACACATAAACAGACATCTTCCCGTTATTTGTTCGGCAGTCATAACTCTGTTCTCCATCACGATTCTCCATTAAAACAGTAACCATGATGCAAAGCAAACTGTCTACTTGCCTTCAGAGAGAATTGAGGACATGGGATGCGAATTCTGGGCCGCAGTGTAGGAAACTACGTTTTCAATACCTCACTAGCGCAGTGAGTATAGAAAGCCTAGGGATTTTGTAAGTTGCGAATTATAAGCAGCGTCAGAAAAAAATAAGATAGATTATGGCGCTCATCCTGTACAGTCATATTCATTCGAGCTCGAATAATAAAATTCATCATTATTAATTACAAGAAAAGTGTCGATCATTACACCTCATATCATACGACAAGCGTGGGCTTGCTTGAGAATTTGATTCATCAATCGTCATTTATTCCCACAGCAGTGTGGGTGAATTTTATTATTCGAGCTCGAATCAGTGATGCGAATTCCGGACCGTTTGCAGCACGTGATCAGCCCCCGATCGGCGGCCTGGCGCAACCGGTAGCAACACAAACATGAGTCTCGAATGAATGCGACCGTATAGGATGAGCGCCATAATCTATTGGATTATCTATTGGATCATCTAAAAAGTATCTGCGATTTTTTATCACTAGATGTGTTGATGGTCATATATCTAGTGACAAAGTACCGCGGATACTTTTTAGGTGACCCAATAAAACATATAAAATGTATCATATAAAACATATTATATAAAACATATCATTGCGTGTCTTTCTTAAGCTAATTACATTTTGTTGTTGGGAGGATTTATTATAATTATTGGGTCATCTAAAAAGTATCCGCGGTTTTTTGTCTAGATGGTGTTGATGGTCATATATCTAGTGACAAAGTACCGCGGATACTTTTTAGATGACCCAATATATGGCGAAGGTGACTTTTTTCTTCGGACGCACATACGTTTTTAAAGCTGGTTGCTCGTTGCTGAACGAATTGGTTGATTGCCCTGCTTCTGGAGTTGCACTACATAAGTCATCGCGTATGCCATACGCTGGTTTTAAATTTTCGATCGATACACTGCGCTGTATACCATTAACGTCAATGTTGAATACTCGATCCGACACACGATTTACGATTTTGTGAGGGACGCTCTAATGCTCTCTTGGTACCGCCCACTCGTAGAAACACATGGAAACACGAATATAAATCTTTGAATACAAATGCGCGTTTCTTATGCTTATGCTCTACCGAGATTGGCTTAACTTTGCGCATATGCTCGCGGAATTCCTCGATGAATTTGAGGATTAGGAGTGAAGTCGTCCGGTAGTACAAATTCTCCGGGGACGCGCAGCGTCGTTTCGTAAACGAATTCCGCAGGCGATACGCATGTGTCGAGGCGGACATGAGTACGCAGACCTAATAGTACGGTTGAAAGTACTCATGACCAATCTTCATTAGCATGACACATTATTGCAGCCTTTAAGTTTCTATGCCACCGCTCGATCATACCGTTCGAGGCGGGGTGATACGCCGTGGTACGAATCCGTTGACAGCCGATCAGCTGAAGAAGTGCAGTGAAAAGTTGTGCTTCGAACTGGCTACCTTGATCCGTAATTATCGTTTTGGATGCTCCAAAATTTGCTACCCAGTTGTCGTAAAATGCGCGTGCCACTGTAATGGCTTCAATGTCTTTGAGAGGGATTGCTACTGGCCAACGCGAAAATCTATCAATAATCGTCACACAATATTTGTACCCGTCCAACTCAGGCAAGGGACCTATTAAATCCATGTGAACATACGCGAAACGCCCGTCGGGCACGACAAATTTTTCAGGATTTAGTTGAACGTGTCGAGTTATTTTTGACTGTTGATAATCTAGACAATTTTTGCACTACTTTGCAATGTCGCGATGCATGTTAGGCCACACATACGTTGACGGATTAACCGATCAGTGACTTTAGGGCCTGGATAAGCCGCGTCATGGAACATGTGAAAGATGCGATTTCGTAGAGATGCCGGTATATAGGGACGGATTGCCTCGCCGGTCATTTCACAATAAAGTGTGGTATGCGTCGGCCCCCATTGAATTCGCTTCATAGTAAGCGGAAATTCAGGAGATTCGCGGCTGGACCGTAGTTCCTCGTCTTGTTCTTGTTGCTGTGCGAGTTCATTTAGTTCAATCTCGGCAGGTAAACGGATGGCTTCGATGCGGGAAAGGGAATCCGCCACGATGTTATCATTGCCCGATAGGTATTCGATACGCGTGATGAACTGAGAGATGAACGACAGTTGTCTCAGTTGCCGGGGTGATGCCTTTTCCGAACGTTGCATGAACGCGTAGATGAGAGGCTTTTGATCAGTCGCAATCTTGAAATTTCGCCCTTCGAGAAAATAACGAAAGTATTTAACTGCAATCGCCGTAAGCTCCCGATCATATGCGCTGTAGTTCTGTTGCGCCGAACTTAGTTTGCGCGAAAAGAACGCGAGCGGTTTCCACGAGTCGTCCAGATGTTGTTCGAGGGCAGCCCCGATGGCGAAATCTGACGTGTCACAAACGAGGCGCGTCTCGGCTGCATCGGAGGGATGAGAGAGTATAGTCGCATTGGCCAGACTCTCCTTGCACTTATTAAACGCTTCCTCAGCCGCCGGCGTCCATATAATTGGCCGTTTGTCATTTTTGTGTGAGTTGCAAAGGTACTCATTTAATGATGCCTGAATGATAGCTGCATTATGCAGTAGTTTACGATAAAAGTTGACAAGCCTAAGAAAACGGCGCAATTCAACTATAGTGTTAGGCCTCGGAAACTCGCGAATGGCCTTATCGAGTGTTGGTTTACAACCTTCGCTGTAAAGCCGAGGAATTCTAATTCTTGCTTGCCGAACTCGCATTTCTCTACATTGAGTCGTAAATAAAACTTTTTTAATCGCTGTAATACTATGCGTAAGTGAGCTTCGTGCTCTTCAAGAGACGTCGACGCTATGAGAATGTCGTCGATGAATGCAAACACAAATTCCAGATCACCTAATGCGCGGAAGATTTGACGCTGGAATGTTTGACTCGCGTTTCTAAGACCGTATGTCATGAATTTATATTCGAACAGCCCGAAGGACGTAACGACAGCCGTTTTCGGAATATCTTCCGGCGCCACTGGAATTTGGTTGTATGTTTGATGCAGATCTAGCTTAGAGAAAATGACTTTCTCACATAGGTTGGAGGAGCAGTCGTGCAAATGTGATACAGGAAATTTATCCGACACGGTAATCGCATTAAGTCGGCGATAATCGCCGCAGATCCTCCATGACCCGTCTTTTTTCTGTACCATGTGAATGGGACTTGCCCATGGACTACTAGACGGACGGCATATACCGACTTCGACTAGCTGTTGAAATTCAGCCTTTGCTGCTTTTAATTTTACCGGACTTAACCGCCTGGGGCGCTCGGCTACCGGCGGGCCCCTGGGAATGATATGATGACGAACATCGCTACTACAATTCGGAGTTGCCTTCTAAGCCGAAATGACCTCCGGAAATTCAGATAAGATGCTCGCGAATTTCGTACTGGGATTGACCATGCTAATGGCAAGCTGAGGTACCGATTTGACAATGCCTGATACGTACACATTGTTTAGCGAATCGATGAGTCTGCGACCCTTAAGGTCCGGAAGGAGCCCGTAATGTGCAATCAGGTACGGCACTGATGTTACGCAGAAATTCCATGTGAGCGGGCGTATCCCTAAATGTAGCGTTCGGAACGACTCCCCATACGTGTCTATATGCGTATTGTTTGCCGCGTAAAGTTTGAAATTGCTCGGAGTTTTCTTCGCGTATGTGCTGGGAAGCAGCGAAATTTCCGCCCCCGTATCCACAAGGAATAGCTCTCCAGAGACTCGATCGCGGATGTGAAGATGGACAGAAGAATCGACGCCCGCCATACCTGTCACCTCGGTGGCAGATGATTCTATTCTCCCGCCTTCCTATCCGTTAAAGCCTTGGGCTTTGGACAAGGGCACGGGAATTTTTCAGTTCCTTTGCAGACTCGCGCTTGTTCCCCGAAAGTACAATGCGGCCAGCAGAGCTTCTGCTTTTGGAACGCTTACAATTTTTATTTGCCGTGTCTCTCGTCTGAGATCTGTTGCCCCGCTCGACCTTAGCCGCGAGGTCGGCTATCGCGGCGATTAGACTGTCCATCTTAGCTTCTAAATCATCTTCGCTTCTGACAACGATGTGACAGCACACTGCGCAGAGTCGCTCGCGGTTTCAGTTATTTTATCCGCCATTTGGACGGCTAGCCCGTCTAAATCCGTGCTATTGGAAGTCGCAAGAATGCTTCTAACGTACAGAGAAGTCTCAGGTTTCTCTCTGGTAATGCATTCTAAAGTCGGAATCAGACTATGTATTGAAGAATAAGATTGAAGATTAAAAAATTGAAGTTTGACCAATCAGAACAAAAGGAGCCAAAATTTCTTTGTTCTCATTGATGAAATTTCAATCTTTAATTTATTTTCAAATTTAACGATTTCCCGCCAATTGTTCTTCGCACAATGCTTGTGGCTACGTTGTGACTGTTGTATGCTCGGTCCAATATGGTGCCGAACGTGTCTGGGCGCCGGCGATGACAAATGGCGAAGGACAATTGACGGGAAATCATTAAGTTTGAAAATAAATGTTACTAATTGATTCTGACTCATATGTCATAAGGCGGTTTAATACAAACTTAAATGATTGTTTAGAACGTACAGATTACAAAAGTAGAGACGTGATTGCGTGCGTATTATGGCTCGGATATCGGTATCGCATTGTTAGGTTAGAATACAAGAAACTAAAAAAATCTACAATCTAAGCATTTATCTGACGACGCTAGCAATTACCTAATGACATGAGCAGTAATCGATGTCGATCTCAGTGAACATAGGGTGATTATTAATCTTACTGAGCATTAACTTATAATTTATCGCTGCGGCTTACAAAAGATCCGCACGCAGAAAGCCATGACACCAGAGAGAGAGAGAGAGAGAGAGAGAGAGAGAGAGAGAGAAAGAAAGAGAAGCCGGAAAAAAGAATTAACTCGCGCCGCAACTAACGCTTGCAACGCCACATGCTGCCGCGCACTACTGCTCTCTAACAAAATGGATGTAAATTACATAGCAATATTTACTTTTCTTAATGTACATCGTCCACTTTTCAAGGCTGGAGATGATAAATCGATATTTGATTCATAGGCCGGGATTCATAGTCGGATCTTATATTTAAGACCGTCTTAAGTACGGTCTTAAGAAGTCACGAACCAATCAGAAGGCCGCATTAGCGATCATCGCATTACTTATGACGATCTTAAAATAAGAATCGACTATGAATACCAGTCATATAATTGTACTACATATAGCACGATCATATGAATCAAATATCGATTTATCATCTCCAGCTTTGAAAAATGAACGATGTATCCTAAGAAAAGTGGACGTTGCTGTGTAGTTTAAATCCACTTTGTTAGAGGGCAGTAGTGCGCGGCAATATTTTGCGATAGGAATGCCCGATCTCGGCAAAAGAATCGATTTTTTTAATCGACCCGAATCGCAACTGTAAATATCGATTCATCAAAAAATCGAGTACCAAAGAATTGATTTAGTAGAAATCGATCTAAAAGATCGAGGCTAATTGTACACTGTAGACTTATAAAAAAAAAATTCAATGCACACGTGCATACATCTCTTGTGCCATTTATATAGAATGAAATATATACGTGTTCTTCATTCTTTTTATTTTATTGCACAGATTTAATATGATGAATACAATGAATAATATTAGACTGTATCTTACGGTCAATATCTATAAAAAGTAGAAAATCGAATCTTTATCAAGGCTTTCTATCAAGGCTTTATTAGCATATATCATTGTATATACATATATTAATGTATACAAAATTTTTGTTATAATATGTATAAATTATATTATGTATTATTATATTATATTATATTATATAAATTATGCACAGACTCCCCACTATAATGGCCGCACACTTTTGCATAATGCACAATGGTGCAGTCCTATGATGCAGAATTGGCACAATGAGGAATTGACGGAACGCTTGTGATTGATTTAGAAAAGACATATCGGCGGAACGCAATTGACGGAATGCTTGAGATTGGACAGACATCGTTCCGCCAATTTCGCATTTCGTATACATTCCGCACTGTGGGACCGCGCCATAACGCTTAGCATAAGCTTATCAATCTTTCTTTTCCTCTCATTCTATGAAAAGAAGAATTTCATTGATTTCTTTATACGTTATGCAAGAATTTGTGCTGCGGCCAATAGTAGTGTTAAAGACACACACTTTCCGTAACAGTAACCATAAGACGTACCGTAAAAATCAATCAATCACAGTCGAG